TACTTTATTTAGCAAGTACTTTTTTCATTTGACGTTACACAGCACAAGTGGTCGGATATTTTTTGTAGGGGAGTGTACATGAAGTCGAAACTGATTTTTACTATGTAGTTGCCTCAAGTCGAAACATTTCGATTTCATGTATAATCATCACACACCCCATTATAAGATGCTAGAGATATGGTGCAAGTCACCTAGTCCCACAACTTTCTGTGCCACACCGCCAATTTTGAGAATCAAAAATGCAATAAAAATTGTTTGGTCATATTTCCTGGTCATTTCATAAATAGTAAAATTGGCAATAATAATATATTGAGATATATATATACCATTTGTTACTAGCTAAAATTTAAAAATGACATTAACAATAGAAATGAAATATATTTCCATGAAATATATTTTTGGTGCTAGGTGGAGCATATGTTTTGCGCTTTTCTTTGGTCAATGCAATAGTCTATTTATTTATTAAATTTAAATAAATGAATTTAACTGCTTGTTGTATTTTTTTATATACATAAAGAATAAATTCTCTTTCCATTCATCTGTAAAATTCATGTGACAAAAAATCTGAAACTTTTGTTTCGATATTAATATTAACTTTTGTGTGCAACACGTCAATTTTTAGGGCTAAACATAATAAATTCGGTAAATTTGTGCAGCTTTTGAAGCTCAAATCCTCCGCAACAACATGACATATCGATGAGATAAAATCGTAATTTTGTAGAGGAAGGTCTTGGCTTCAAAAACACGATTTATTTTGGGTGTTGCTTTCCATTCTTGGAGGATTTGAAGGATCTACACGACTAATAAAAAGTTGCGGGATTAAGTGACTTGCACTATAGAAAGTAGATGAAGCCTTTTATTTTATAAATATCTTCAATGAGAGATAAGAAGGCTGGTAAATATATGCGAATCATGATAAACAACTACCATTATTTTCGTTACACACTGTATATCAAACATCCCAATAAATAAGTATTATATAGTTAAAATGAATAATTGCATAAATAGGTTACACTGTGATAATCAAGATTGTTTGTTATTTTAATTCTAACAACGCGTTGATTATTGATTCATAATTTCCAATGTTATTGTTATTGGCGTTCTTCGACGATATTTTTAGAAATTTCAATAATCATAAATGAAGGAACCAGAAAACTTTCATTAAATGGAAAAATTTCTGTTTTTTTATATTTTGTAATGTAAAAATTTCTTTTAATATGCTTTATTGAACAAGTTTTAGAATGATCAATTTTACGATTTCAATTAACGCACAAACACCGCCCCCAAATAATGAGTCAATAGGCTTCTTATATTGGATAATAAAAAAGCTTGAAAACGTTGATTAACAAAATTTAAGGAATTATGGAACGTAATAAAGATTAGTTTCATTGACTTAAAAATAAACCATTTAAAAAAGAAATTGATGAATGACGAGAAAAACACAAACGCGTGATGGACCTCTTAATTAGATTTTTATTTTAATTGATTCGGATATTTCTTAATCTATAATAATAAAGAATTTTATATGTACTCGGTGTCTTTTAAATATTATTGGTCGTCGTAAACTAAATAATTTTTCAAATTGTTACACCAAAAAATTTTCATATTGTCTCTTTTTTGTCTCATAATATTTCAAATTTGAAGTGATAAAAATAGAAATCATTCCAGTGGTGTAAATAAGAATATTATTATGACTGTATTGATATTAATCACTTATGGGATTCTCCAGACAATAATTTATCTTATAAGAAGAAAAGAAAACAGATGGATAGACGGAGATGTATGTATTTGGTTTTTTTTTTTTTTTTTTTTTTTGAAGCATCATTGTGTGCTTGAATCCTTCATTTATTTATAAACACGACGAACCATAAAAATATTCCGCATAGTATTATCGTGCAACAGAAAAATATTTATCACATTACTTGATTATTTATTTAGTATGTGAATCCAGATTAGTCATCCGCCTTAATGACTCAGCGATTTTAAGTCATTTTTGCGAGAAACCATTTTTATTTTTTACAATTGTATATTTTGTCTAGAATGACAATAGTAAGAATCCGGAAGAGTAAGGCAATGATCTAATTTTAACTATAATGCTGTCAATCTTGATTTTAAATAAATTGCCGTGTAATCTTTTGTCCACGTCCCATATTTCTAAATATGCGCAATAGTTGTTACGTACGCTTAAAATGAGACATCATCTTGCATATTTCTACTAGCAATTCTTCTAATTCACCTGACTGATGCATATTTAATACAATATCACAATCACCAACAAATTCAGCTTTTACATAAACCTGAGGGATAGTTGGCCAATTTCTGGTATATTAATTTATAAACAATCCAAAATGAATAAAATTGTCCTAAAAAGAATCAATAAATTCCTGTTTTCTATTCAGTGATTATTAAGCAAATAATTACCTACGAATATTCTTTGATTCCATTCCTTAATTCCACATCTTCTAACACATTTAAAGCCTTGATCTTGGTGCCTGCCCATACCAGTTTGAGTGCGTGCTAATCAAATATGTAATATAGTTCCCATATTTGGTTAGAACTCCACGCTGCGCGCTCTGAATTCCCGATACGTTGGTGCTATCAATTCTTAATAAATAATATAAAATAAATAAATAAATAAATAAATAAATAAAATATACAAATAAAATAAATATCCATCCGTTGAACACATGCATAAACTTTAATGATAAGATGTGGGGAAACATACCTGCGGTTCACTAGGTGTACCTTTCATAAACAGCACAACATCATTCTTTACATGAAAGAAACCACCTGATTAATCTTGGCTTTGCTTTAAAAATAAAATAAATACCTTTCTCATCTAAAGATTTTCAAACTATCTGATAAGTGTCTGGATGATAGAAAAATAAATCTTTGATTTGTTGTTAATGTAAATAATATTCTTGATGAATATTTTATTGGGTCAAAGTATGTTATCTAAAATATTAAAATATAAATTACTTGGTCAATTAACAACTATTGGTTAATTAAAATATAGTTACTTAATTAATCATTAAACAACCAATCAATTGAAAGATTTAATCAATATTAATTATTTACTCTACTCTAATCCTATATTAATATTAAACATACGATGAAATATTAAAATTTTTTTTCACAATCATTTGTGTTTGTATGACACGCAGTGTTTTGGTGGTGTGTGACGTAGTTAAGCTCGTGATTCAAAAAAAAATTTCTCCATTCTCAATTATTTATTTTGGAAATTCATTTTAAAAAAAAAACAAGGATCAAAAAAACGTAAATAAAAACAAATACATAGATAGATATCCGTTTTCTTCTCTCTCATGAGATAAATTATTGTCTGGAGAATCCCATAGGAGATTAAGATTAATACAGTCATAATAATAATCTTATTTACACTATTGGAATGATTTCTATTTTTATCACTTCAAATATTATTCTTACTATGAGACAACAATATTAAATATCTTTTTCTTCATATTCAAAACATTGCTAACCCATCAATGAAATTTTTTTGGTGTAACATGATTTCATTTAAAATTTTTTATCTAATACTAATACTAATAGTTACGATTTGCAAATTTTTCATTTACGACGACAATAATATAAAATTAAGAAACATCCGAATTAATTAAAATAACGAAAATCTAATCAGCATTTACTCCCATTCTTTTTCATTTTTGTCATTCATCGTTTTTTTTAAAAGATCTATTTTTTTGAATGCTAATCCAAATCATTCTAAACTTGTTCAAGTATATTAAAAAAAAATTTTATAATACGAAATATAAAAAACAAATTTTTTTTCCATTTAATCAAAGCCTTTGATTCCTTCATTTATGGTTATTGAAAACGCCAATAACAAATAATATTGGAAATTATGAATTAATAATCAAGGTATGATGTATAATATGATCAAATGATCAAAATATTCATTTATTTCGCGTGCTAATTAATTTTAATTATACATATTAGGAAATTTATTTATTAAAAAATCATATTAAAAGAGGTTAACATAGTGGAACATTCTGGTAATAAACTGGATAACAATTACTATTGTTTCTTACACTACTTACTAGATTTAGTAAATATTTGTTGGGGAAACGCAATTTTTGTATTTTTATCATAAATTCTAAATAACTGTCAAATACATATGAATTTAAAAAAAACATTGAATATGTGCGGGGTAACCAAAATAACGATCACAATATTATTTCTTACACTACTTATTAGATTTAGTAAATATTTGTTGGGGAACACAATTTTTGTATTTTTGTCATAAATTCTAAACTGTCAAAAAATACATATATATGAACACTAAATATGTGCGGGGTAACCAAAATTGTTTTTTACACTAACTAGATTTAGTAAATAATTGTTTGGGAAACGCAATTTTTGTATTTTTAAATAACTGTCAAATACACACATAAATTTAAAAAAATCATATTAAACAAAAAAAAACAGCGTTGTTATATTATAGACAAGATTCTTAAAAATCAAATTTTTTTTGTAGCTATTTTGCTTCCAGAGTTATAAACGTTTTAAGTTCCCGATTGTTAAAATCAATTTATTTAGAGAAAATCGTTTTTGCATAAACTGTTCTAGCTTCTCATACAGACGAAAATTTTTAATTCTGAAAGATGTTTTGAGCTTGCAGACATGTCTTTAGAATGTAACAGAGCCATATTTAAAAATATTTATTAACATTGATGTATTTTCATATTATAAATAAATCAGAATAAATAAAAAAAACAGCTCTTAATTAATTAAAGAGAATCACTTTTGCACAAACTGTTATAACTCATAATACTAGTCGTGTGACATGTCCTAAAAATCAAGGGGCAAGTTTATTTTCCGAAAAATTTCC